GGTCGGGTCTGTCCCCACCCTGCTCCGCGTCCCCATGTGCACAGTGGGAAGATGAAAAAACCCCAAATAATCCCCCAAAATATCCCCCGGCCGTGCAGGAGGGGGGGCAGCACCGCACCCCCGCTCCGGGACCCCTGTGGCACTGTCCCCTCCTGTCACCGCCGAGTGGCACTGGCAGGGGACGCGCTGCACCCCCAGGAGGGACTGAGGGGGACAGGAAGGACATCGGGGTCCTGTGGGGACAGCACGGGACACCCGGGGCTGGGGGGGCTTTGGGGAGGGGGAGCAGGGGACACGGGGACAAAACTGAGGGGACACGAGGACAGGGGCGAGAGGACACGGGGACAGGATGGGTACAAACTGAGGGGACACAGGGATAACATGGGGACAGGATGTGGGTACAGACTTTGGGGACAGGACGTGGGGACACGGGGACAAACTCGGGGCGTTGTGAATGATGTGGGGACAGATCCGTGGGGTTGGGTACAAAACCGGCGGGGTACAGGGATGACACTGAAGGGACACTGAGGGGACAGAGCTGGGGGAAAAGATGGGGACAGAGCCATGGGGACAGAACTGATGTGGGGAGGGGGCCACGGGGACGGAGCCGCAGGGGGATGTGTGGACAGATGCGGGGGGACACACGGGGACAGAGGCGGGGGACACGCGGGGACAGAGGCGGGGGGTGGCAGCGGCGGCCGAGCCGGCGGGGGGGGGCCCCACACTGCACAGCGCGGCTGCCGGGGGGGCCCCGCCGCAGGGAGGGGACCCCGGTGCGGGCGTGGGGAGGGGACACGCGGGGGGGTCCCCACGGCCGGGCGACAGCGGCGACAGCGGCGGTGAGGCCGAAGCGCGGCTGAGGAAGAGGAAGAGCGAGCGCTGCTCAGACCCAGAGGGCTCTGCGGGCAGCGGGGCGGGCAGAGCGCGGCGGCGGCGGCGGCGGCGGCGGCTCCATCACCGGCGCGCAGAAAGGGGAAGAGGAGGAGGAGGAGGAGGAGGAGGAGGAGGGAGGAAGGAAGGCAGGAAGGAAGGAAGAAGCGCCGCGGCGGAGGGGCCCGCGGGATGGCCATGGCCTGACCGGGCCGGGGCAGCGCTGCCCCCCGGCACAGCCCCCCGGCACAGCCCCCCGCCCATGGCGCTGTAGCGGGCGCGGGGCCCGGGGGCAGCGGCGGCGGTGGCGGCGAGCGATGCGGGCTCCGGGACCATGCTGAGGACCGAGGCCGGCGGGGCCGGGGGGTCCCCCTCGGCCGGGGGCGCGGCGGGGGCCGGGGGGCTGCGCAGCGCGTCCCCGCACCGGAACGCCTACGAGGCCACCATCCAGGCCCTGGCGCCCACAAAGGAGGCCGACGGCGAGGACGGCAAGAAGAGCCGCGGGAAGAAGTATGGCTCCAACGTGCATCGGATCAAGAACATGTTCCTGCAGATGGGGACGGCTCCCGGCCCCGAGGGCGCCTGCGACCTGGCCAAGGCCAAGGAGAAGCCGGTGCGCCTGTCCTTACCCCGCGCCGGCAGCCTGGGCGACGGCGTGGACCAGGGCAACCTCCTCAAGCTGGGCACCAGCGTCTCGGAGCGCGTCAGCCGCTTCGACTCCAAGCCCGACAAACCCTTCTCCAAGCTGCAGGAGACCCGCAAGATCTTCGAGAGGAGCCCTCAGGAGAAGGCCACCAGCACCAAGCTGCTGCTGCGCAAGGAGCGAGCCGGCTTCCAGGACCGCAAGCTGGACGTGGTGGTGAGGTTCAACGGCAGCACCGAGTCGCTGGACAAGCTGGACGCCGACGCCGTGTCGCCCACCGTGAGCCAGCTGAGCGCCGTCTTCGAGAAGGCCGACCTGCGGAACAACCTGCACAAGGCGCAGGGCAGGGCGGCCGCGCCGCTCAACGCCAAGGCGGTGGCCAAGCGGCCGCGGGTCTTCGCGCCCGGCACCGAGCCCGCTCGCCCGGGTGATAGCCACGCCGCCCCGGCCCGTGCCCGGCCCGCGGAGGACGAGAAGGCGGCGGGGAAGAGCGGGAGGCCGGCGGAGAAGGAGGCGGCGGGAGCGCCGAGGGTGCAGGAGGTGTGCAAGATCAAGCCCGTGGAGGTGGAGGAGAGCGGAGAGGGCGAGGAGGAGGAAGAGGAGGAGGCGRCGGCGAAGGGAGAAGCGGCCCCGGCGACCCAACCGGCCAAAGGGGATGAAGGTCCGGCGGCCGCGGCTCCTCGGCCGGACGGGGGCTCGGGAGTGGCCGCGGGCGAGGAGGGCGTCAAGGGCGAGCGGGCGGAGGAGGGCGATGGCTCCGAGGAGGCCAAGAAGGAGGATTTCTCCGAGGCGGACCTGGTGGACATAAGTGCCTACAGCGGGCTCGGGGAGGACTCGGGGGGCAGCGGGCTGGACGAGGAGGATGAGGCCGAAGGGCTGTACGAGCCCGAGTCGGGCTGCGTGGAGATCCCGGGGCTGTCCGAGGAAGAGGAGCCCGTGCCCAACCGCAAGATCCAGTTCAGCACGGCGCCCATCCAGGTGAGCGGGGCCGGGAGAGGGATGGAGGGAGAGAG